TTTTCACTGGCAGCAATGACTCACTGCTGATGTTTTTGCATCTGTTCATGCTACTCAACATGTAGACCACTAAATGTTTTAGTTAAATTAATGTGATAAGGGGCTAAAAACAAGCAAATAGTTTGACTAAATTTACTGCAAAACTCACTTAATGAAGAATGTAGTTAAGTCATACTGAATTTTCGTGGAAACGATAAAACAGAAGTAATAAAAATACATGTTCACTGGAACAGAAAGAATGATAGTCGAGCTAAAGTATAAACATTTAACCCTAACCATCAGCCTAACATGTTAGTGCAGCCAACTAACAGACTGGGATCATTAAACAGCACTGGGATCGCTGTTTTGATCCAGTGTAAGAGCAACAGAGCATAAATGCTGCATAATGATTGGCTCCACTAAAGGAACATTCAGTACAAACATATATAGACTCAACTTTGGGGTACCGTACTTACTAAAACATTCGCTCCCCTCAAACATGAAAAGAGCAATGCACAGCCACAATGTACATTACAGTAACTTTGTCAGTATATGATAAACTGCACTCAGTCACACAATGGTAAGGCTAGCATTAGCACTGAAATGCTAAAGTTTGTCTTCCATCTTCCAGTTAATTCTCCCCCTTGACCTTTTCAGCAAATACACCCAGGGATTGTGGGGTTGGGGTTGTATTATAGGAAACGGTAAGCAGTTACTTTAAATGTGAAACATGTCAGTTAGATTATCTAGTTTGTGCAACAATGTTGGTTCAGACAAGTCGAGAGCACAGGGGACTGTATTGAGGGCTTTTAGCCAGCCAGGGCATTGATCAGATCATCAGACATTGATAAATATTACACATGTTGCGGCTTTAACAAAACTCTAAAATTGACATCACGTGTGTCGAGATCAAGCCACTAAATGACAGCTCAATCTTATAACAAGGCTGCGTTTCACTCTTCTGAAAGGGTGGCATTGTTTGGAGATTTGAGGTTTTTCTTGTGACAGCAGCCATTGTTAAGCATTAAAGTCTGAAGTGTAGACAAAGCCCTTGGCTGAAACCAGCTCAATTCCGACCGAACCAGAACTGCTCTGTGGTGGAGACAGAAAACCTACCTGGGTCTAAGTGAGAGTCAGAAATAGAATCAATAACAGCAGTTACTGAATGAGGAGACTCTTGGGATGTGAGAAATTCAAAAAAACATTGAAGTGCAGTGAAAATATTATGAATAGAATTCCAACGAAAGTCCAGTAGTGGCCTCCGCTGAGGCCTTTTGCTCCTGGTGGGGGGCGAAGGAGTCGGGGAGCCCCCCCCCCTCTTCGTACCAGGGCCAACCGCAGGAATGTGAGCTGCTGTCAGGAAGCAGTAAAGTGCTGACGCGGAGGTCAGCGAGCGTTTACACACATGTGGCTTTACTTTCACAACTCCATCTTCCTTTTTTCTTCTTTTTCTCCTTCATCTGCTCCTTGCTCTTTTCTCTTGCCTTATCTTTCTTTTTTGGAGACACCTCCTCCCCCTCATTTCTTCCGTCTTTGCCTTCTTTTCCCTCTGAACATGAAGGCTCACTCTTGAAGGTGTGTCTGGGGTTTCAACGGTCCTCAGTCTGCAGGTCATTGGTTGTGTGTTGCAGGACCACATAATATGATTTGAACAAGATATATCTATATTTTAAGAGCTGCGTTGTATTTGTTTTTGGCATATTTCACAGATGCTATTAACACATATTTGTAAAAAGACCCAAAGAATTTCATATTTGTATGCAGAAGGTGAAGACAGCAATAAACAGGAAGCAATTTCAAACCCCAAAACTATCAAAAATGTACTTATCCAAGCCATCGTGTTATCATGAATAGGTTAGTGGCACTTAAGTTAAGCAGCTATTTTGAAGGCACATGACTGCTTTTTCAGTCGGATTATCATTGACATATAATCGGCTCTAAGAAGGCAAACTCACATTCTCAGGATCATAAAAACACTCAACAGTTTCTTAAATGGGAAACATTACCCGATGCAGTGGTGTTGAATTGTAGGAACAGAGACAGACCCTTTCTATTGTAGTTGATTGAGGTTGATCTACTTGGCTATACCAACAAACCAGCACTGAAGATAGATGATGCACAGTGTTGGCAGGATGTACTGTTCTCATTGCACTGAAAAATGTTGACCATCTGCTGCATAAAAAGAAGTGGACATTGTACACGTCCAACATGGAAAACAGCTTAGCTGCTCAACAGAGAAAAGAAAAAACAGCAACTTAAAAATGATCTGAGACATATTCAAGACTTACATGAGACCAGATGATCAGGAGAGTTTAGTATAGAGCCTATAGACCTATAAAGATGCAGATACCGGGAGAACACTCTCAGAGTAGGGGGGAAATGAAATTTTGAGTTAACATGAAATAGTAACTTCTCTATGTTAAACGGCCAGCTTTACTAACATCCCAATTAAAGAGTACTAAATTGCACGTTTGATTGGTGGGTGTTTTGCAGGTGATCTACTAAGAAAATTTGCGTGAATGACACCAGGTGCAAACCTTGTGGAGGCGCTACTATTTAAGTTAGGTTTTTGCGTGTTCTACTGGTTTACATCACGGAGAGTGGACAGAAAGCAGGATGACTGCAAGCGCAAAATAGGTATCAGTGGGAGAGACATTAAACATACAGTATTTTCGAGTTATAGCAGATAGAACTGAATATTAGAAAAATAAAATTTGGCCTATAAGAAAACCTCAGCATTAAACAGGGCCTCTCTTTTCTTCCCTCCATCTTTTGATGAATGAATTGTCATACATTGCGCAGAAGGTGCGAGCTGTGTCCTCTGTGGCGCTCAGGCGCAACACTCTGCACATTGTTGCGCAGAAGACAGGTGGCCAGGTCTGTGTCTGATCGGACATAAATGCTCTGGCAAGAGGTATCGAAGACGTGGGTACAAGCAGAGGTGTGGTCCCCCAATCCAAGCGTAGCGGCAGCGGGCTGTAGAGGGATGAGACGCGCTCACCATGGAGAGGAGCACACCAGAGGGCACGAGCTGGGGGAGAGACGCGCAGCCCGAGAAAATGGAAATCCCCAGTTTAAAATATAATGCTGGCGAAAAGAGGGAAATAGGAAGAAATAAATGTCAGTGTTGAAATTCTTTAGAATACCGAGGCTGTGAATGTTTAATTTTGTTGAACAGGCAATGTTGTTGTTAGGCAACAATATAGTTTAATCATGGTGTTTCCTGCTGTCATTCCAAACATATTAACATGTGTGGGGAATAACACGATCTGTATGCCTTCTTTTGTTGTGCCTATGTCTCCTCCTACAATAACAGCAGCCTGTTGTGCGTAACACTGGTCTCCTGGGTGAGCACGTTCTTTTCAAAGTTGTTAAATTCAGGCACCGTCACAATCACTGCAATTTTTGCCATGCTTGGTAAATCTCAATGCGTGTACTAACTTAACTTCTTTGCATTTTCTCCTCCCAGAATTTTGCATGTTAGGGCAGAAACGCCCCATATTGCATATTCATTAAGGCAAACGTACTAAATGGTCAATGCGTTTTGTTTTGCTCGTATGAAAGACGCAATCCTCACTGCGTGCCGTTAGTAGATCAGATAGCACTTTTTTTGCTGGTGGTATCAAGTTTGCAAATGTTTTAAGACATGCAAACCTTTAGTAAATATGGCCCAAAGTGTTTTCTTGGGGTGCCTGATAGCCTAGCCCCCCATGTGCAGAGGCTATAGTCCTCATAGCAGCGGCTGTGGGTTTGAATCCAACCTCGGCCCTTGGCTGCCTGTCATCCACTACTCTCTCCCCCAAATGTTTTCCTGTCTCTCTTCAGCTATCCTATCCAATTATAAAGGCACAAATGACCCAAAAAAGTTTTATTGTTAGAATATAACTTAATTGAACAATAATCAAAAATATAATATGAATTGTCAGGTAATATGAGTGTGGATCTGAGTCTGCTCAGCTGTGATTCTCTTTTTCATAGCTGCATAACATATGCACAACAATGTATGTTATGTGAATAATATGAACCTTTTCAGCCTGGTGGTATTGGTAGAAATATATATTAGTCAGGATCTAATATTTTAATACACTTTTTGTATTAATGAAAAAGTGAGTCAGTTATGCATGGATATTGTTTAGACATTTTAGTTAAAAGCACAACCTGCTTGTGGTATAAGAGAAAAAGTCTGGGCATCAATAAAGTCATTATTATTCAAACTTTGGGGAACAGGACTACACAAAAATGTCAGTTCATAAAGCAGTTTTTGTGGTCTTTCAGGCTGGACTCTACGAGTGTATTCAGCTGTCATCAGGACACACAACTGTAACAACTATTCATCATGAATGAAGACCTCTGTTCAAAGCTAGAAATTAAGAATTAAAGCAGAGTCAGTCACGTGATAGTTTTGTCCCATGATGCAACTGTTTTTTCATTTGTTGCGAAATTTTGTCTCGACTGTTTTTAAGAAGCCCAGAAATTCCAGAGGGCCAGATTCAGCATGTGGTTCTGCTCGGCGTCAGGAAACACTGGCGGTAGACTGGAGTGTGAGAGCAGGCGGCTCTACTCTCTTGTTTTGACGGAGGAGGCAGCGAGGTCAGAGCTCCGTTCATCTGCTGCTCACATTCCACCTTCAGCCGAATCAACCTCTCACACCGTCTCACTTTCGTTCGTCTTCAGTTTTCACCATCCACGTTTTTAGGTTGGACAGTTCTATTCATACTGATGGGATTTTACGCTCAACAAGATTATAATGTGACTTCTATTGTTAGTGTTTTAAAATAGTGGGACCAATGAAAGTGGAGCAGCATTGTTTTCTACCAACATTAATAGTGATTATATGTTTCTAGAGGCACAAGCTTCATTTCTATAGACAATCCAAAGTGCTGATGTCGTGGAGGCGACGCTCTAAGCCTTCAGCAGAGTTACGAAGGAAACGGCAAATGCTAACTAGAAAGCTTAAGGTACAGTCTCTAACTGATGACATTTATCCTTAAGTCGTTTTTTTTTCTTTTTCTTTCCATCAGCACTTCCAGACCATGCTGAAGACCAAGCTCAATGTGCTGACGCTGAGAAAGGAGCCTTTGCCCACGGTGATCTTCCATGAGCCCGAGGCCATCGAGCTGTGCTCCACCACACCGCTCACAAAGAACAGGCCCCATGCTGGATACAAGGTATGATCACATGAACTGAATAATCCATAAATCCAACCCAGTAATTTTATAATAGCATTAATAGATCCGTAATACAACACAGTTATTCATTCCCATTGTTCTTACCTCCAACACACACACAGAGTTTCTGGAGTCAGAATCCAATCCTTTAATAATTAGAATAAATCAGCGTATTTGGGCACATGATTCTTTTTGCATGTTTTCTGGCATTTAGTCTTCTATTCTCCCTCGGCTGCATTAGGGTCAGATTAAAAGTTTGATCCAGTCTGTTTGACACGCAGCCTAATTCTCTCTTCTCTGTCCTCAAAACAGAAGAAAACAAACAGATTAAAATAGCAGCCAAGCTCTGTTATTACACATAACACTCCTCAACCAAGCCACCGAGTTTCTCTTTGTGTGTTTGCCTGCCTTGTGCGGCAGCATTGCAAGCATAACAAATAAACTAAAACAAATCTGGGCTCATGTGAGACAGCTCCAAGTGGCTGTGTCTGTATGAGGATTATGTCTTGTGTGTAAAGTGTTGTTTTTGGTCTCTTTCAATGCACCATTAACAAGCATTTTCGATAAATGAATTGAATCTTTTTCCAACCTCACCTGACTGAACATCAACATCTCCTTTCTGGCAGCGGACTGAACATTTGAGGAAAAAAACTTGTCCTTCTTCAAATTTTTGCCAAGAAACACACATGTGGAACACACAGGCCCTGTGATTGTTGTTGATAACTGTGTTTGTTGGACCACTGTACAGAGGAGCTAAAGGAAAAACACACAGAAAAAGCCTTCAAGCACACACATCACATATACACACATACAGTATAGTTATATACTATGTATGTGTAAACATCCTCACAACATAAGGCAGCTAAGCGACCAGAAGTGCTGATTCCAAATCAGAACTTACCCCCCTTAAAAATTCCTAAAGTGAAAACACGAAGTGAAAGTCAGTGCGACGGCCTTTACTGGCGGAGCAGACTGGTTCAGTCTGGCTGAGAGAGAAACACACATGCAGAGAAACACGTCAGCCAGCAGGATTTCACTAACTCCAAACCACAAGTGTCACATAGTGTCTTGTGCAACTTCTCTGGACAAAAACACGTTTTGTTGTTATAATAATTCAATATTTTAAGAGTTCTTAATTGGTTACAAACAATCTCAAGTAAATATGAAATTCCTCCATATGACCTATTCAGGCAGTAAACTAAAATATTGACTGAATAGTTATTTTAATGGCATCATCCACTTGCTGGATAGAATTCAGTCAAAACGCTTTACAGCTTGCAGGCAGACAGAGCCTTTATTATCTTTTCCCCTACTAAGTTCCATATTGACAAGTACTTAAGTTAAAGGAAGAATGAAAAGATGTTTCTTTAAAGATTTCCTCGTATACAGGTTACATGGCAGGATCCCTAAAGAGAAAAACACATCTCTGTGTCCGCAGAGATCAACTAAATCTACACAAAAGGATTATTCCCTCATGGCTGCTTTAACCCTTTAATGGTTTGTGTATCCTGGGGGATACAGATATTTGACAGGCTGTGGGTTGTAGGGGCATTAAGTGGGTGCACTAAATGAAACACTGGCTGGAGGGTTGGGTTAATTAATTTGCTCAAAATATGTTTTGAAACATTTCGGTCCATTTAAGGGTTAAAATACAGAATATGATGCGAGTCATAGATTAGGACATTATGCTGTGATCTTTTAGATGGGAAAGAAAATCAGTGATGGCTGCTGACAGATGATAGATTTGTTTAGAATAAGAAAAACATTCCTGATGATGTGGCATTGTCAAGCTGTTACATTATTTATTATTGCACCTGTTACACGTCTCCTCCTGCTCATTTTTATGCCTCCTAGAAGCAGCTGTTGTGCCAGACACAATAAAATCCAGCACGATCCCTCCTGTCTTGTAAACGCCACAGTTAAATTGTCTTACTGTATCTATTTTCAGTGCTCGGACAATTAAATCTGTACAGACATTCAATTGTGCAGAGTTACAGCACAAGACGTCGAATCTTTGACATTCTTATCAGTACTGCAACAGTTCAATTACAACATGTCTGTTAAGAATTTCATGTCATGGTACCAACAAAATGCTCCTTCACTTTTCATTGTTTATGAATGGGATAAATGGATACTGATAGACACTTTACATGGCAGCCTCTGCTGTCGAGTCCATTTACCGACATTTGATGACTTTCGACCCACACTTTTCTCTCCCCCACCCACACTTTGTTGTTGAATGGGAGAAATTAAGAAATAGGCCGCAACTATATTGTCAAAAACAAAAAGCTTGATATCACTGTGGTAACTGCTGTAAACCATTAGCCGATATGTGGCTCATAAAAGATAGCTTGCTCGTTTTTATGTTTTTTTTTATAACATAAGACGTCTTTTGAAAGAGGGGAAAATCTAAAGTTGGCAGATTTTTTACTTCATATTTCACTTCATCACCAGCTTCTGACTCATGTGCATCCCAGTGTTCAGTGATTAACAACGTATTTCACATCTCACTATTAGTCTTCGATTTTCCAGTCATGCACTGGAAGCTTTTTTGGCCATGATAACCCCCCCTCACCTAATATTGTTCTTATATTCCGACAGCAAAGACACGCCAAAGATCTAACCTGCTGCTTATCCAATAAAAACACTGTAATGTTGTAAACAGTTGTTTATCAGGAATAGAAGTAGAAATGACATGCAGCCGTGTCTTGCTTCATGCTCTCACTGCCATGATAGAAAATAAATATTGATGTATCACTTGGGACCTAAGTGATACATCAATATTTATTTTCACGTCTTAGGTGCACTCTGCACACGGCTATACTTGGTATCCCTCTCTGTCTAGTGTGAATCCCAGCATCCTCTCTCCACCCGCTCCTCCTCTGTCCTCGCTGCTCTTTCCAGCAGTACTGAGGATGCCAAAGCCATGTTGCCATGGATACCACTACAGCTATTCAGCAGAATACCAGCCACACAAGACATTCATTTCCCTCGTCTGTCTGCAAACTCCCTATTTGCAAGTCTGTCTGCCTCGCCGCCTGCATCTGTTGGCTTGTGTAACTTTCTGTCTGAGTCACTACCTACCTGTCTGCATATCTGTCTGCCCACCTGTTTCAGCACCCAATACTAGACCGTGACATTATACTAGAAGTGACTTTATTTTCTTTTCAACGCAGAAAAACTGAACAAATGGTCTTTTTGAGCTCCTTCAAGCCTTCCTGCTTGGTTTTTATATTCCAAAATACAATACACTACCATTTATTATCCTCCTGGAAGGTTTTATATTCCCCGTCTTTCATTTCGCCTTCTCTGCGCTCTCTCCCAGCCCCCAGTTGTGCTCCCAGTTTACATGCAGGCAGGAAGGCTGGCTGCGGGCTGCTGTCTGTCTGCCAAAGCTAACAGCTAGCATGGATGAAAGGCCACCTCTCATTGCCCTGCCTGGCCTGGTGCTCTCAAAGCAGTCCACTTCACATCCATTGAGAAAATGTGTTTGATGCTCTATGCAGCAGCCCTGTCAGCTCCACAGTCAAACTCCATGACAATGGTGAAATGACTCTGGGGGCTGCTCAAAATACAACTCAGCTTCTTACTCATGTTTTTGTGGGCGTTAAAATCAATACGTCTTTTTGTTTCCGAGAGTATAAAAATAATTGAATCCACCTTTCTGTGAATTTCTTTCTGCTTTATAAATGAAGCTTCTTGGGTATGTAAACCTCCATACATTGAATGAGCACACAAGTGTCCGATTCAGGTCCTAGTTTTACGTTTGTAGCAGCGCAGAAGTGAGTCAGTGAGTAAACTTTAGACTTTAAAAAAGGGATTCACATGGATGTGGAGTGGAAACTGACTAATCTATACCAAGAAACTCCCTCCAACAAAATACTGTAAAAATAACAATATTTCAAATAGTTGAGAGCTGTTTTACAACAATCATCTCGCCTTCGGAAAATGCAAAGGAAATGTTTTAATAGTAATAAATCTTTACATAACTATCTCCTATTTTCTATGGTTAAAGGCCAACACTTTCTTTGTTTAATGTCACACAGATACTTAGGAAACACAAGGCTACAGGTGGCGGTCAGCTAGCATCACAAAGACAGTTAGCCTGGCTTTGTCAAAAGATAAGATAATCCCTCTCAAACAGCATCTGAGAAGCTCACTTACTAACATAACACTTCTTAATCTGCCCCAAAAAGATTAGAAATAAAAAAAAAAGTTATTGTTGTTGGATCGATTGGCGGTAACTTTCATTGATAACCTACGAAAACCAACTCCTAGCTGTAGCGTCATATTTAACATACAAATGTTAAGGTGGTATGATCCTTTTTAATAAAAAGCAAGTATGTGTATTTCCTTAAATCTTTTTGTGTAACTTCAAAGGTGTATTTTTGGCTCTTAACTTAAATGTTGAGCTCGCATTCCGATCACTTAGTTTCTGAATTTTACGCTTACGGATTTGTTTTGATCACGAGTGAATGAAAGGAGTGTAAAGAAAAATAATACTCTCAATTTGGGATTTGTGTCTGAAGTACAATTAGCAGGCGATAAGCTAATAAGCGTGACTGAACATGACTTAAAGTTATTTTTATTCACAGTAGAATTCAAAGTAGGTAAAGTACAAGTTAAAATAACAAGTGATGACTAAGTAGCTTTTAGCTGCTTCAGTTTCTTGAAAGAATTCTCTCCTACAATAAAAACCAAACCAGTGAGAACATGTGATTCTCCCTCTCTGACGTCATTCACAGCAGCCATGCTGGTCCTACCATGTCTGTCTTTATCTAATCTGTCAGCAGAGAGGCTTTGTGTCTCTCTGTACTTGGTATTCTGATGTAAGTCAGTGTGCTGGATGTACTCTCACGTGTTCTCCAGTGAACAGAGAACAAACCACACAGTGATGACACAAACAGTAACATAACAGCAACCTCCAGGCTGAGATGACCAGTGCTCCCAGTTCCCTTCTGGATGTATGACTGCTTTTGTCTAATGGAGCCTTTGTGTTT